TGTAATTCACAAGTTTCTGCACGTGCACATGTTCACGAATGTACGTCTTTGGATAGGTACGTGTCTTCACATGTACTCCTGTGGATGTGCTCCTGAAGGTGTGTTCACATGTGTGTGCATATCTGTGTGTTTTAGCGTGAGTCCCGTGAATGCATGCATGTCTGTTCATGTGTATACACATCCAGAAGTGTTTGCACATGTGTTCATGAATGTGTTCACATACACATGTTCACAAGTGTTTGAGTGTGTCCACGTGCAGCGTGTTTCCCCGTACATGCCATGTTTGCATGCGTGTGTGCACATCTGTGCTCACGAGCGTGCGTGTGCATCCGTGTGCGTGGGTGTGCGCGTGGCTGCGGGAGGGAGGGAGGTGAGGGTGGAGGGGTGCAGGCACGCACCAGCTCCCGGCCCTGGGCGGCCGTGTTGGCCCGCAGCACCCGCAGCACGGTCTCCAGGGGCACCTCCCGCAGGGGCGTCTCCCTCTGAAGAAAGAGCACAAGGCTGGTCAGGAAGGCTCCTCCCCAGGCCCTGAACGGGTTTCCATCCATGGGAAACTCTCCAAAGGACAGGTTCACCAGCAAAGAATTTGGCAGGTCCCCAGGGCCTGACCCAGGACACCAGCTGGCCAGGCTGCACCAGGACACTAGCAGACGCCCCTTCAGGCTAATGGCACTGAGTGTCCGAGATGCCGACCACAGAGCTGGCAGGAGGCCATGGGTGTGCTCCCTACCCAATTGCTTGATGGTGCCCCTGTTCCTTGGGCATCAGTGTGGCCCCAAACCACACCTGGATGAGCTGATCAGCCAGCTGCTGCTGGAGCTGGCTGTAGTGTGCGGCTGGGAGAAACCGTCCCTGCTGCCCCAGCCTGGCAGTGCGCAGTTACATGGTGCCCAGTTAAGCCAAGCAAGCCAGCTGGGAGGGGAAGGCTGCCCACTGCAGGAGGCGGCTTGAGCCTGGTACAGGTCTCCTGACATGGGCTGGAGTGGGCCGTTAGGGGGCAGTGAGGCGCACAGGCCACAGCCTTGATTCGGGGTGAGGCACAGGACCTGTGTGCACTTGGGAGTGGCTGGGCCGCTGTTTACCTGGTCTCCCAGCTCTTGGCTGTTGGCCGAGCAAGTGTCTGCTGAACGTGGGTGCTGGGTGCTGCTGTGGAGCCCCAAGGCCTGGGTGGCGTCTGCTCTGGGTTCCAAAGCTGTGGCAGACGCTCCCTCTCTGCGCCTGCGGCCAGCCTCAGCCTCCTTGGGGAGGCTGGGGGAGGCAGGCGGCCGTTCCAGCCAGCCCCGTGCACCCTCTTTCCACAGCTCTGCGGTGCTCTGCCTGGTAGGAACCCACAGGTCCATGCTGGGTACCACGTACGGGGCTGCCCACGCTGGCTCGCCCTCCCTGGCCCCGCGGGTGTCCTCGCCGCTGCTGCTGCTGCCCCCACGGTCCTCGCTGCTTGAGCTCCATCGGACACACCGCTGGGGCCGCCGCCGCCTCCACGAGCGATTCTGCTGCTTCTGCTGCAAGGGGAGGGGCCTCAGGCTGCAGCAGCCCAGGGACCTTGACGGGCAGGGAGGCAGGCCCAGCCCCATGGGGAGAGGTCCCTCCAGAATACAGGCACGGGGGTGGCCCCTGGCCAGGCAGGCTGTCCTGCCCGCACTCAGCTCCTGCCAGAGCCCTCGTCCGCCGCAGCCCACCCACCCGCCCGGAGGAAGCCCTGGCCCCGCCGCACTCACCCTGACCATGATCTTCCACTTGCTTAGACACTGGGAGCCTGTCCGGTGGGGCAGCTCGGCTGCGATTTCTGCCCAGTGACCTAGGAAGGGACACGACACGGGCGGTCTCCAGAAGGCCTGGGCCAGGGCCAGCACTGCACCCCCGGACCCTGCTGGCATCCTACGACCCCGCAAGTACAGACGCTCCGAGGAAAGTGGGTGCCACACACCCACCATCTGCAGGGGCACCCGCTTCCCAGGGACACGCTCCCCTGGCAGCCCCAGCAGACACAGCCCTGAGCCGGGTGCACATGTAGGTGAAGTGGCTCTCACACAACGGTTGGCCTTGGCCCTGGCCCCCTGGACCGCGCACTGCACGTGTTCACGCGCCGCCAGTTCACCAGCACGCACGGAAGCCTCACTATCGTGCCCTTCAGCCGAGCAGGCAACGCCACTGAGATGCGTCAACACTCAGCCACGGAAGCCTGAGCGTTCTAGCCCCGCAGCAACACGGGAATCGATGGGAACGTCTGCCGACAAGGGAGCTGAAAGGACTGGGGTGCTGCTACACAGTGAGAAGCGGTGCAGCCCAGCCTCAGCCGTCATAGCAGGCAGAGCGTGTGAAGACGGAAGACAGCCCACCCTGCACGCGGTACCCAATGACACGCTCCAGGAGCAAAACCACACTCACTGCTGTCGAGTCGGACCCGACTCATAGCGACCCCTCCTGGGGTTTCTGAGGCGGTATCTCTACGGAAGTAGATTGCCCAACCTGTCTTCTAGGGAGTAGCTGGTGGATTTGAACCGCCAGCCTTCTGGGTGGCAGTCAAATGCCTTAGGCACTACGCCAGACACGCTACTAAGCGAAAAAACCTAGCTGGTTCCATGTGATCTGACTCTTAAAACCTGTACGGGAAACACTCCTGTGGGTGAGGAAACCACTATTCCAGCTGTCTTCTTTGTGTCCATCTGTCCTTCAGAATTTCCCCTAATGCCTGCGTGTTAGTTTGTAATGTGGCAAAACCCAGCACTGCCTGCCCTGACCATGAAAGTAGGCCGGGCAGAGCTGATCTCGTGGTCAGTGCCCAGGCGCGACCACGAGCCCGCAGGTGGCCGGGATCCCCAGGCAACGCGCCAACACCACTCACCGGCCCCGTACTTTCCTATCAGTTCAATCAGCTTCTCTTCTTCTTTCGGATCCCATCGCCCCTTTTTCAGGCTGCAGTGCAATCTTCGGATATACCTGGGGTGACACGGAGACACACAGCACCTCAGACGCAGGGACGCCCCCGCCGCGTCCATCTGCCAGCCCCAACCCCGTGGGCCTCTGAGGTAGCAGAGGAAGCGGTGTCCAGGGCCCCGAGTTCAGGCCACAGAGCATGGCACCTGGTGAGTGCCAACAGTCAGTGCCCTTGGTGCCATGGTCGGGAAGGGACGGGGTTGGGGATGGGACCACAAGAGGCAGGAGGAAGGTGGACCCACACCTCACACAGAGCTGCCTGCCACAGCCACCTTCTCACTGACCCTCTGTGCCACCCACCCCGCCCCAACTCAGAGCCAGGGAACTAGGGTGCAGAGAGACACATCTTGTACATGAATCACAGCAGTGAGGCCGGGAGGGGGGCGAGGACAATGCGTCACGCCCACCAGCCTGAGCGCGTCCGGAGGAGGGGCAGTCCAGAGTCTCCGTGCTGCTGCGGTGGGTTTCAAGAGAGCTGAGGAGGAGGGATGGAGGGGTGGGGGCCCAAACAAAGGAGGCTTCACCCATGAAGGAAGGAAAACCTTCCACCAGGTGTCTGCTGGGGGCACTATCTGAACAGCCTGCAGTTCCCCTCACAGGGGCAGGCAGGATCCACCCAATGTCTCACTCCACGGCAGGGGAGCACTGATCGAGTCCTTCCTGCCCTGGCTCTGAGGCCTCCTGTGCTCTGGGCAGATCACAAGAAAGCCCAGAGCACTGAGGGTGGGTGCCTCTCAGATCGTGGGAAAGCCCCTAGCACCAACAAGAGGGTGCAGTCTGGGAGCCAGGTGCTGTGTGCCCACTGGGTGCTGTGTGGCCCGGCAAGGAGTCAGCTCTGGACGCAGAGGAAGGAGAAGAGCCACCCAAAGAGTCAGTCCTCGCTGCCATTCAGCAGCCTCCCCAAGCCCGTCACCCCTGCACAGCTGCCCTGCCCACACCACTCAGGGCAACACAGGCCAGACCTGAGGGCCACCCTGGATTCACGGTCTCAAATGGAGCAACACAAAAGCCAAGGCACAGATGGCATGGGTGCCCACGTTCTGGAAGGAGACAGGGGCATGCGAGCTCCCTCACATGGAATTCAGGTGACAGACAGGGCTCACTGAGGTGGGGACCCCAGACTGGCTACACAATGCCACGGCCAGGGAGCCACATGAAAGCCCAGACAGCTGGCTCCCTGCAGCCCAGGATCTGAGGACCGAGCTCAGAGCTCTGTACACATCCTGCCAGGTCAGCTCGGGACAATACCACCGCCTCACACGGGAACAGTGCGTGCTGCGTGAGCAAAGGGAAATACGGACACAAGGGACCCAGGAGAGAGAAACGGGACAGAGCTGGAGGGCTCGCCTTCCAATCTCCAGCTCACTACAGAGCAACAGTAGTCAAGACACTGTGGCCCTGGCACAAGGACAGGCAGAGAGCAATGGGCCAGCACAGAGAATCCAGAAGCAAACCTCACGTCTGCGGTCCACAATGGAACCAAGGCAACTCAACAGAGAAAAACAGTTTCTTCCAAAATGGTGACGGGGCAACTGGATTTCCACATACAAAATAATAAAGCTAGATCCTTACCTTACACCATACACTGACAGTAACTAAGAATGAATCAAAGACCTACTGTAAGACCTAAAACCACAAAATTCTTAGAAGAAATCACAGGTCAATTTTGATGATCTTAAATTAGCCACAACTTCTTAGACATGTCACCAACACACAAAAGACATAAATAAATGAACAAAATAACTTGGACTTCATCCCAATTAAACACTTTCGTGCCTCAAAAGACACTTTAAAGAAAGTGGCAACCTACAGAAAATACCCACAAATCATGTACCTGGGTAGGTGACTTGTGCCTGAAATACATAAAGAACACGTAACATAGAACTCAATTCATAAACACAGAACAATACCTGAAGAGCTGTTTCTCAAACTAAGGTAGACAAAGGCCAACAAAGATGAGGATACGCTACATCCTTCATCACCAGGGCCACACAAACCAGAGGCACCACGAGACACCACTTCCCACCACCAGGAGGTCTTGTCTGACAGGCGTTGACAAGCACTACTGTGGCTGTGAAGAGTGACAACCTTTCCACGCTGCTGTAGGGGTGTGCAATGGTAGGCACGTGTGCAGTGGTAGGAGTGGGCAGTGGCAGGTGTGTGCAAAGGCAGGAGTGTACAATTGTAGGAGTGTGTGCAGTGGTAGGTGTGTGCACTGCTAAAAGCAGGCAATGATAGGCGTGTGCACTGGTAGGCACGTGCAGTGGTAAACGTGTGCAATGTAGGCATGCAATAGTAGAAGTGGGCAATGGTAGGTGTGTGTAATGGCAGGAGCATGCAGTGGTAGAAGTGTGCAGTGGTAAGTGTGTGCGATGCTAGGCATGCATTGGTAGGTGTGTGCAGTGGCAGGCACGTGCAGTGGCAGGCGCGTGCAGTGACAGGCGCGTGCAGTGGTAGGTGTGCAATGGCAGGAGCGGGCAATGGTAGGCCTGTGCAACAGTGCAGCCACATGCAAAACAGTTAAATAGTTCCTTCCTCAACGGGTTAAAAACAGTTACCATATAACCCAGGAATCCCACTCCTATTGCCAAGATGAACACATGTCTACACAAAAACGTATATACGAATGTTTGTAGCAACATTATGTATGTGTAACAGCGAAAAGTAGAAAAACACAAAGGCCCGTGAGCTCACAAGTGCAGAAACAAGTGTGGTATGTCTGACGTGGTGACCAGTGCACGACTCTGGACATCCTAAACCGCCGAGCAGCACCCTTGAAGCGGGTGAACTGCACGGAACGGGAATCTCAATACAGACGTTTAAAAAGAAAGGCCACAGGGAGGGGAAGGGACCAGAGCTGTTGGCCTAGGACCCTGCAGTCAGCTGCCTGGGAGAGGACTTCCGGTGACAGGCTGAGGAAACGCCATGTGCAAATCTGGCTTGGAAATCAGTTCTGCCTCCGACTGGGTCACTGTGGTACACCAAGTCTCACAGACTCACTCCCTGCTTAGGACAGGAAGCTGGCCAGGGCCACTGGCACGGCTGACGTGGAGGGAAACTCTATTCAGCAGAAAGCCCGAGCCGAGCGACAGGCCCTGTCAGCCCTGCCCAGAGCGCTGTCCACTCACCTGTCACGGCACTGGGCGTCACTCCTGCCCGGCACCTCCTCCCGGATTTTAAACCAGTCATGTTCTCCGTGTTTGGCCACAGCCTGAAGCAGCTTCTGCAAACGGACGAGCAGACTGACGATGTCACGGCTGCACCACAGCCCAGGCCCGGCCCAGGCAGGACAGGCGTGTGGCCACCAAGACACCGGGACTTCACCTCCCGAGGACGGCCCTTCCTGGCCATGAGGTGCCCGGGAACCCCAGGAACGAGCCCATCACGCCAGTCCCGAGAGGAGCAAGGTGTGGACTCACGGCATCCTCCTCGGGGGCCCAGCAGCCCCTCCTCAGCCGGGGGTCCAGGCTCTTGGTCCACCGGTAGATGAGCTGCACGGAGTCCCGCCCTTCCATGTAGTACACCACTGCGGGCAGAGCCGCCTGAGGAGCCGCCCGACCAACAGGGCCCGGCCACCACCATCACCAAGGGGAGCCACCCCAACAGGGTCCAGCCACCAACCCAGCACCGAGGGGAGCCGCCCCAACAGTCTGGTCACCCCCATCACCAAGGAGAGCCACACCTAGACATGTCCTCTCTGGACCACCAGCCCCCCTTGTCACCAAGACAGAGCTATAACCCACGAGGACCACACGCCCACTCTCCTGCCCGCCTTTCGGGGCTGCCCTGGATGAGCCCTGGGGCAGGCAGGCGTACTTTTGCGGTAGGGGATGTGGCTGCCGACACGCATCTCCTGCACCAGCTGCGTGAGCATGCAGTCTTCCTCCTGCGTCCACTCCTTGCGCTTCAGGTCGCTGTTGTGCTGCTGGAACTTCTGCAGGCACTGGAAGGCGCTGCGCCGTGTCTGTCAGGGGCACAGAGAGGGCATCAGCGTGTGGTGAGGAGGGGCCGCGCCCTGCCATGTGTGCCCGGGTCACATGGCAGAGAGGGCGTCAGTGTGTGGTGAGGAGGGGCCGCACCTTGCTGTGTGTACCCGGGTCACAAGGCAGAGAGGGCGTCAAGTGTGTGGTGAGGAGGGGCCGCACCTCACCGTGTGTGCCCGGGTCACACAAAAGAG